TTATTTAGCGTTTTCCTGGAAAGATCACAACAAAATCTATGAGTACTCCAATTTCAGGTATTTTCACGCATTCTTCTGAGAGTGAAAACTCACTGAATTTGGAGTACTTTTTAAGTTGGCCCACACATGGTTGAGTGGCAAAAATGGAAAATGTGTCGAATCGGCGCGACAATTATTTCTCGGTCTAAACGATTTTTTTCAAATGTTCTAATATTTTTCCTAGAAAGAACACGACCTCATATATGAATTCTCAAAATTTCAGATTTTTCTGCGAGTTCCTCCGAGCACAGAAAATCGCCAAAGGTGCCTCTTGCAAAACGYCTGTTTCGTTGCGCCTGACGTCCCTGTTTTGAGAAGACGGGCCTCAACGCCTGGGCCTGAGGGCCCTTACCCCATCCCCACTTCTTTTGGGGGTCCAATTCCACCCGAGGACCGGTCCTTCGTTTTTCCAAAAGTCCCAGTTCTACCAGAGCTAGCTGTAGGTAGTCCGCAATTTTGGCAAGGACCGGTTTCCCAATTTTTTTTACCCCATAAGAACCCTCTTTGGGTCCTGGTCGCCCGCCGCCAAAAATGCGACACCTTGACACAGACGCCAAAGCCAGTAGACCGCAGTTTGAATTTATGTAGCGTTTTTCCTAGAAAGATCAAAACAAAATCTACGAGTACTCCAATTTTCAGGTTTTTTCACGCATTCTTCTGAGCACGAAAACTCACTGAATTTGGAGTACTTTTTTAGTTGGCCCAAACATGGCTGAGTGGCAAAAATGGAAAATGTGCTGAATTGGCGCGACGATTATTTCGCAGTCTAAATGATTTTTTGTAAATGTTCTATTATTATTTCTGGAAATAACACAACCTCATCTATGGATTCTCAAAATTTCAGATTTTTTTGCATGTTCATCTGAGCACAAAAAATCGTCAAAGTTGCCTCTTGCAAAACGCCTGTTTCGTTGTGCTTGACCTCCCTGTTTTGAGAAGACGAGGCTCAACGCCTGGGCCTGAGGGCCCTTTTGTAGTTCACATGCCCTCACTTCTTTTTGGGGTCCGCTTCTACCCGAGGACCGGTCCAATCTCACTTCTTTTTGGGGTCCGCTTCTACCTGAGGACCGGTCCAATGCCCCCCACTTCTTTTTGGGGTCCACTTCTACTCGAGGACCGGTCCTTCGTTTTTCCAAAAGTCCCGGTTCTACCAGAGCTAGCTGTAGGTAGTCCGCAATTTTGGCAAGGACCGGTCCCCCAATTTTTTTTGCCCCCTAAGAACCCACTTTGCGTCCTGGTCACCCGCCGCCAAAAATGCGACACCTTGACACAGACGCCGAAGCCCACTATACCACAGCCTAAGGGCTGCGAATTACCCCAGATGAAGTTGAACGAATCCGGGATATGATTGCGAAATGCTATTTAGATGGTATAGTACCGCAACGTCTCGCCCCTTCTATAGTGGAGGAGGGAGAGGACTATCATAAACTTATTGCTAACCAGGACCTTTACAAAATTTAAGCGGACTGGCTCAGCAAACACGCCGTCACTATTATCTTTGGAGATGATT